AGCTACTACCTTTCCTTCTTGCATCAACACTCCATCCAAACCTATCTTAGAAGCATCACTATATATCACAAAAGACTTACTAGAATCCAGTAATATTAACACTAGTCAATCTTTCCTTAAGAGTTTGGAAACTACTCTCACACTTACTATCCCACATAAAGGCAAATCTCTCTTCCTGGTCAATCCAGTCAAAGGTATGACAAACTGTACAAGCAGCCACATAATTCTTAATATCTGCCTTCATACCATCCCAATAAACCACTCTTGCTAATCTTTTATATGTTCTGAAGTAACCTGAATGTCCTCCCACCGGCGAGTCATGAAATTCCTTCAAAATTAATGGAATTCTACTGGACCCCTTGGGTAAAACCAATTTTCCCTGGTAGTATAGTCGTCCCTTGTGTAATTCATTGCCACTATGATTTGAATAACCTACGAGCAAGTCTTGATAAATGTTGTGAAACTTAGCATCCCTTTGAATCTCTACCTCCCATGCCTCCATGTCTTCCAAATTCACCATTGATATAGCAGAAAATGCAGCCCTCCTGGATAACGCATCAGCAGCTGAGTCCTCCTTACCCGGTTTATATTGAATCTCAAAGTCATACCCTATTAATTTCGTGGCCCACTTAAATTGTTCTTCACTCATGAGACGTTGTTCCGTTAAGAACTTAAGACTGCGCTGATCTGTTCATATAATAAAATGATTGCCCAACAGATAGTGCCTCCATTTCTGAACCGCCAACACTACTGCCATTAATTCTCTTTCATAAATAGATTTTTGTTGTGCCCTTGATGATAAGGTTTTGCTCCAAAAGGCCAACAGTCTCCCTTCTTGAAGCAAAACAGCCCCTAAACCAACCCCTGATGCATCTGTCCCTATCATAAATGGTTTGTTAAAATCTAGTATTGCCAATATTGATAACGTAGTCAGATTATTTTTGAGTTCCTCAAAAGCCTCCTGTGCTTCCGTAGTCCAACTCTATACAACGCACTTTTTCTTACAGGGACCACAAACTAAAGATTTGACGTGACTGTTCGTAGGTGTACGTTGATTGAGCATGTGTGTGTGCATTTGTTTGTATTATTTTGTTCTAATAAGATGGATTGGAATGTTAAAACTAAGCAAATAGATAATAAAGAAATAAAAAATAATAATAAAAATTTATACCCCTTTGTGCATTCTTAGATCAACATTTCATTAACATCATATAGGTAGTTTCCTTTTTTCAAAAAAAAAAGAATCAATAAAAGAAATCTCATCTTTACCATGCATCATTCCCCTTTAGATAATAGAAACATGAAAAAGATTAGGCAAAAAAAAATGCATGCATTCTAGATTAGCTCATTAATTTCATTCATTTTATTTTATTAGCTAAGGAGGATTAGGTTGCCGTATGTATAGAAAGTTAAGAAAAGTGAATGCTCTAATATACAACAGTATCTGTGCTTTAAAGAAAAAAACTCAAATCATCTTTCTCAACTTTCTCATCTGCACTTAATACTGAAAAAATCTATTTGAGCATTCACAGATAAACAAATCAATGAGACTGATATTTATTATTCTCAACTTTCTCTACATTCTGCATTACATTCATTTAGAGCATATCCCTCCTTGTAAAAGAATAAATGAGAATAAAAAGGGAAATTAACCTATGTGCGTTAGTCGGAAGTAATGGAAACAAACCGTGCATAAAGAGTTTAGGGTAAATCATCAAGACGCCAATTTTTTTCCCTAAGAGGACAAAGCCGTGTCGTGCAACCGTGAAATCCAAGCGGAATAAGAATGGACGAATCCACACTCCTAACGAGTTGTAAGCTAATAAAGAGAACTTGAGGAGGACGAATCTCTCAAACACTAAGGGAAAGCGATTAGAGCTTTCTCGAAAGGTGATTTCAACAAAAGAGAAGCATTGCTTGTTAAGAAGCTGCTAGGATGAAAACCCGCAAAGGGCATTCTAGGCAAAAAAAAAAGTAATGTTTGTTCGAGCTGAAAATCGAGAGACAACTTGAATGTTCCTCTTGAGACTTCATAGAAAGCTCTATCATCGCTTCTACCCATTCCTACATCTCAGGAAAGATATGGTTTGAAAATACCTTTACGAGAGAAGAGGCCAAAGGCCCTCCCTCTACACGAGATCTTCTGAAGTGCCACATCCAAGCAAGTGGAGGACTAGCCCTACAGTTAGATGACCTAGGCCTCTCTAAGGGGCAACCTCCTTCTTTCTCTTTGTGTATGAATCACGAACTTGGGACATGCCTGGGCCCTCAAGCTACATTAAATGGGCATGTGTAAATTGAAAGTCCGTACTGTTCAAGCTTATCATCTAAATCAATTGTCGGATGAGGATTGCTGGTTAGTGTTTGCAAACCATGCGTGTTTTACTCCAGAATCTAGTGAGAATTCAATGACTCTAGAAAAAATTGGAAGGGACATTGTTAAAAAGTGTAAAGGATTGCCTTTAGCAGTACAATCACTTGGAGGTATGTTGAGAAGAAAGCATGACGCTAGGGATTGGAATGATATACTGAATAGTGACATTTGGGAACTTGAGTGTAACATTATTCCAGCACTGAGAATTAGTTATCATTATCTCCTTCCACAATTAAAACGATGTTTTGTTTATTGTTCATTGTATCCTAAAGATTATGAATTTCAGAAAAATGAATTAATCTTATTGTGGATGGCTGAAGATCTTTTAAAGCCAGGAAAAACAGGAAAATCATTAGAAGAAGTTGGTTGTGAGTATTTTGATTATCTAGTTTCAAGATCATTTTTTCAACATTCAAGAAATGGGACATGGGACAGTGATTTTGTGATGCATGACCTTATGCATGACCTAGCAACATCCCTTGGACGAGAATTCTATTTGAGATCAGAAGATATGGGAAAAGAAACCAAGATTGATGTCAAGATTCGTCATTTGTCATTTACCAAATTCAGTCATGCTGTCTTGGACAACTTTGATGGAGTAAAATTTTTGAGAACTTTCTTGTCTATCATC